GCTGTTTCTTCCAGTTCAAGGAATGTTTGGTTGAAAATGTGGGAGAAACTGGTGGCAATTTTGAATCCTTTCAGTCTTTTGTCTACACAAAGAGGAATTAATTCCCTTAGTTTTTATAGGCTATAGTTAGAACAGTTGTCAATGGCAGAGTTGGGATAAGACAAGACTATTCAAAGCAACCAAGAAAGGATGGACAAATGCTGGACAGGTTTTGTTTTCACAAGAAAGAATTTAATTGAGAAAAGTATGGAGTAATTTACCTAAGATTCCTCCATGCTGGGGAATTTTTAAGTGTGAATAACTTACCATTTTAACAGAGACTGAATAATCTCCTCTGGTTCAAGGAGAAAATAATCGAGATATATTATCTTCTTACACACTAAACTGAAAGTAAGCCAAGTCTGTGCTGAATGTTAAGGAGTTTCTTTTTCTCTCTGAAACTGTTCCCCCACTTTATGATCCATTGTCACCCACTGTTTACAGACTCAAAGCATCACAGAGTGTTTGAGGTGGGAAGAGACTTCTGGAGATTGTCTTTTCCAAGCCCCTGCCTGGACAGGGCCACTTAGAGCCAGTTGCCCAGGACTTCTGCTTTTGACATACATATAGGCTAACCACAGAAGAGGGGGACAGCAAAACAGAATTTTTATTTTCTTTTCCTGACATTGAAACACCAGCATAGCACAATTCAGAGGCAAAAGCTTTTTTTTCTATCTGTTGAAGAAAACTCTCCAGTGCTTCACATAGATCTCAATAGGAGATTGTACACTACTGTTTCGGAAAAAACTGTGAGATATTTTCATGCTTATTTATCTTTTTCCATCTTGTAATCTCAATTTGGAAATGTTTCACAGTGCTTAAACTGGTCTATAAATGAATGATCTCCTTTCTGCCAAACCAACCATCCTCAAGCTGATCAGTGTCTTAAGTTTGCCCAAAGATGTTAGACAACAGGAAGGAAGTGCTTCATGTCTTGCTGAATAAAATATTCTGGGTTCAAACATATTGCTCTAAAAATCAATACAAAAATTCAGCTGTGAATGTGAAAGAGAGAGGCCAACAAAATGCACCATATAAAGAGATTGCAGTGTAATGGATGGTTTAAAACTACAAAGAATAGCATTGTATGTACTGAATCAAGGAACATAATTGTGTTGGGTTTTCTTGCTTATTTTTAAAAACAAGATTCAGCTGACAACCAATATAGAACTAATAAAAGTACATTTCTAATCTAAAAGTGTGGTTGTCATTCCATATAATAAAATAAGCCAATGTTGTTACTCTAAGAAAAATGCAAAATCTAAAAAAACCCTTAAACTCATTTAAAAATCAATAGGACTTTTACCAAATAAATCCAAAGACTTCCTAACACTACTAAGATGCCATTTGACACAATTGATTTTGGTTGTTAGGCTTTCCCAATTTTTTAAAACATTTCATGTTTTATTAAATGTCAGTCCTTTTCTTCCTTTTTAAATTTACTGCCTAGTAGAAATGTAAGGTTCTGGCAATTGTCTAGTTAGAGATGTAAAAATACATGCTAAGTTTATAAAAGTTTAGCTGTAGAATTCCATAGTAATGGAAGATGTGCCCCCCTAAGAGCATGAGCTACTAGTTTACTAGTAGGAGCATTTACCAAAACTCACATAAAGAGATTTTGCAACAAAATGAGACATAAAGCCAAAAAAAGATGGTGGTGAACATTTCAGTAGTTGTATGAAGTTCAAAATTTCAAACTCTCTACAGAAATGATATCTACTGGAGCAGAAAGCAATTTTGAACAATCTCTAAATTGCAAACCCTGGGTACTTGCTTATAAACACTTGCATAAGCTTTTTACATTCAATGGTGTAGATCCTGAGATATCTCCTTAAGGTCTCATTGCTAATGAGAACACTCAGTGGCCATTGTGGTCATGCCTCATTTATTTTGTGGATGTCTCCCTCCATAATGATGGTTACTGATTACATTTTGGCATAAACACACTTGGTATGTTCTGCTTTCTGTTTCTCCATACTATTGCAATGGTGTCCTTAAAATTATGAGTGACAATAAAAGATCTAGGAATTTTAAAACTGGAAACATCCTATTTCAGAAAAGGAAAAATGTGAAGCTCACTGTTATATTATGTGACACAGCACATTTCCCAGAACAGCAAAATCAGCTGTTTTGTGCCTACTTGTTCTATTACCTTTTTTTTAAGTAACTATAACTTGAAACTTAGCCATATGGATGTCTGCATCATCCTGCAGAAGAAACATCTGACTGTCTATAAACATTTGTATGACTATTTTCAACACAACCCTTTTTCTCTTACTCTACTGTTCCCTAAAATAGACTGCACATCTGTATAGAAGTTTATCCTATGGATAAATCAGCTGTCTTTCAATTACTCTACGAATAAAGTTCTGTAACTCATTGTGGATGAGAATAAGGAAGGTCAGAGAAAGTGCTGAGAGGGTTAGAAAGCAGAGTAGGGACAGTTTATTGAGATTAACAGCTGCAAACTTGATGTTGCTCATGGCAAGATGGATTACACAAAACACGTGAATGCCTTCACAAAGTCTTACATCTTCTATATTCCTTATTATAAGGAGCTTACTCACAGCCCTGTAGCAGAACCGTGCGCCCTGCTCACCCTGCAGGATTTTTAAGAGCTCTGTCAGGCTGGCTGGGCTGATGGCTGGCTGGCTGGTTGAGTGGGTGAATCCTGCTAGCCAAGATCACCTCTGACTTACCCTAATGTGTACGCTGTTATTGCTGACTGCCTGCAGTCCTAAACATTGATAACAGATACAGTCTTCCTTCCAGAGTATGGGGCAGACCATCCACAGGCTGGAAAAAACCCAAAAAACGCCGATGCTTTTTATTAAAACATGGCTTTTTACTGGGAAAAATAAATAAATAAATACATGCATAAATAAATATCCAGGTTTCCTCATCATGCATCTTCCAGAATAGCTGCTGTGCTGCTCAGTGCTGTCCCAAAGGCAGCAAGGGTACCCACCTCATTAAGAGGTGCCCTGAAGACAACAGGCCTCCCGCCTAGGCTAACACAGCCCCAGCCCGCCGGCAGTCCCCGGGATGCGGGACAGACCCGTCCGGCCGCAGCGGGCAGCCCGGCTCCGCGGAGCCGCGGGCACGCAGCCACCGCTGCCCTCCCACCTGCGCTCACCCCCCTCCTCCGTGCTTCTCCGCACCCGCGCAAAGCAGGATGCCGGGCTGCATTTCATGTGTAGTTGACTTACAGCCTCCTTCCCAACACCTCCCCCTCCTCTCCCTGCCCCGGCTGTTCTTCCAGACACACTTTTCTTGTTGCAAACGGCGTGAGCATCAGGTGCGGGCAAGGAGGAGCGGCGCCGACCCCGCCTCCGAGATGCTGCTGCGGCGTGGGGAGCCCGGGGCAGGGGCTGCGGATATCCCTGGTGCCCTGGCTCTGCCCCCATCCCCGCGGGGGTCGGCGGCTTTCCCGCAGCCTGGCCGCCGCAACAGCGGTGCAGAGGAGCCGGAGGATGCCATCCTGTTCCCCTTGCACTTCTGTGACACAAATCTTCCCTTCTCCTCGTCCCTCCCCGCCGCCCCAGCCGTGCGCTTCGCTCCCTGTCCTTTCTTGGCGCCCTCTCCTCTCCCGGGCCGGGAGCGCCGGGGCCGCGGCGCTGCGGGAGTCAGAGGTGCGGGCTGCCGCGGCTCTGCAGGGCCGGCTCCCGGGGCCGAGAGGGGACACAGCCCTTTCTGCTCATCCGCTCGTCCTCCCCTCTTGTTTTCCATTGAGACCATTTCAAGCCCTCTCAATACTCTTATTATTAATATGTTTTCTCTACTAGATTCTGCCCCCGTCCCTCCCGCCCTGACCACTAGCGCTCCGCAATCTCGTCAAAAGGATGGGTGTTTGGGGTGGGTTGTAGCTGGGGAGGAAGATAGGTCCTAGACGCGGGGGGAGGGCGGGAGAGAAAGGGAGAGATTTTGCAGTCGTCTCTGGGCTGATTGGAAGAGGTAATCATTGTATCTGCGGCCGGAGGATTAGCAGATAAACTTTTATTGCTCCCTTTTGTGCGTGTGTGTGCGTGTCTTTGTGCGTGCGTGGGTGTGGGTGTGTAGAGGAAGAAGTCTCTCAAGGGGGAAAATCTTTTCAATTTCCCTTTGGCAGGTGCAGGTCAAGGAGGAACTCATGAGCATTTTGTCTGATCCATGAACTGATTAGGAGAGGGGAAGCGATCCCTCTCCTCTTACCCTTCCTTTCCCAGTTTTGAAATCATTCCTTCCCCACCACTGCCGCCCTCCCGTCCTTCCCCTCCTCTTTCCCTTCCTCTTCCCCTCCACTGAATGAATGGAAGAGTCTCCACGGTTTTCTTCTGTTTCTCACCCTGGACTGGAGAAGTGAGGGGGCATCTATCTATCCTCATCCATCTCTTTCTCGCTCCATCCATTCTCAAGGGGATTTCAGACCGTGCAATGTGTTTTCAGCCTCTTGCCGCTGCTACCACTTGATACTGTGTTATGCGCAGGGAGAGGGTTTTGCAAAAATGGATTTATTCTATTTTAAAGGATTTCTTCTCTAATAAGGTTCTCATTGCACACAAATATGACTAAATCCCCTATTTGGTAAATCTTTCTCTACCCCACCCCTCCTCTTTGGGTTCCCTCCCGCCCGCCCCCACCCCTTCAGAGGAGCAAGCACAGGGAGCTGATGACGGACCCATTAATCCCTTCTTCAATGCATCAAAAGAAGCCGAAGGGCTGGAAGTCGCTGGGCTCGGAGTCCTGCAGGAAATGCTTCGATCTGCTTTTGGTGCTGTATGAAACTGGTGACTAGGGGCTCGGCTCGCTCCGCCGCCGCCGCCCGCCGGCACCTGGATGCGCGGGCCGCCGCCGCCGCCTTGCCCGCCGCCGCCGCCGCCGCCGCCGCGATGCACCGCTCGTGGCGGTGCTGGTGATCGCTCGGGTGTGATGGGATTGAGCCGGCGGTGATCATTTGAAGGCGGTGAGGGAGAGCGAGGGTGAGGAAAGGCTGCTCGGCTCTGCTGTGTGTGTGGGCTTTTTTTTTTTCTCCTTTTTTTTCTTCTTCTTCTTCTTTTCCTACTTCCATCCTCTCCCCGCCACTGGAAGTCCTCCCGTATCTAAATGGAATTAGTGGAGACCGAAGCCCCTTGTGTAAGGAACAGACATGACCCATGGGCGCAGCTTCTTTCACAGTGAGTATCAATCTCCCCCTTCCCACCCCCGACCGAGCTCCGCTGCCGCGCACGGGCTCCTGCCCTCCGCTGCTCCACACCTGGCTGGCTAACGGGACGCCCAGGCTCCCTGGGCCAAGGGGCGAACTCCCCCCACGCACACACCGCATCCTCTCCCCCACCACGCTGCGGAGCCCCGGAGGGGAGCCGGTGTCTGCCAGCGCCGTGGGGCGGGCGGCGGGGCACGCTCCCGGGGCTGGAGGCTTTCACCTGGGCACGGCAGGTTTGGTGGCTTTTGCCGCGCCGGCAGAGAGCGGGGGGAGCTGCCGCCGCCGTGGGGCCCCGGCCGTGGCTCCAAGCGGCCGCCGAGGGTGAGGGGGCGCGGGGCAGCGCCGGGAGCCGCGGCGGGGGCGGGGGCGGCCGCACCGGGCACGGATCCCGGAGAGCTGCGGGGCGGGGGCGGCGCTTTCGGCTGAAATCCACCAGGATTAGCAAGGAGGCACCGAAAGATATCACCTACTCTTCCAAGACCTTAGGGGCCTCAAGGCGCGGGGTGGGACTCCCTCTCCCGCCTCTGCTTTGCGGAGGGTCCGCTGTTCTGAAGGGGCTTGACTGGCCCCAGTTCCTCCCAGCACTTCTCTGTGCGCCCACACCTGTACAATAGCGCTATGACCAGGTATTGCTTGTCCAACAACTCTTCGCCAGGCTAAGCCACGTCTGTGCCAAATCACAGCCTCCTAAATGCCTGGCCAAGAGATAAATCACTTAATGTACAGCTTGTAATGAAAATAATGCACAGATCCAAAAAAGATGGAAAGATGCGTAATCAGAGCGGCACTAGAAAGCACGATTATAATTACACCCGTGATTAAGAGGGAAAGGGGGAGGAGGAAGACCGTGAGAATGCAACAAGAAATTCTGTGGAAACTTCTTTAAAATAATTCCAAAACCGAGATAATGACAATATTGTTGCTATGCTGCCAACACTTCCCAAGTGACAATTTTCAAAGAGTGAAGGTTCCATGGTTGGTCCCTTTGGGGTCTTGTTTTTTCTCCCCCCTCTCTGAAAAGCACTGTTATTTTTTTGTGGCTTGAGAAAGAAAAAGGCATGAGAAATTCAAACCTGAAATTGGGTATCAGGGGTGCGTTTGTGCAGAGGGATCATAGAATAAAATGGTCTGCCTTGTCTGCTTGAATAATATGTATTTGTGTTGGCTTTTCCCAAGAAGATCACAATTTTAATTACTTTCTGGCAACTTGCATATTTTGGTGCTGCTGTTAATAACACTAAAACAAGAGCCTTTTTCTTTTTTCTTTTTTTTTTTTAACATGGGAGAAGTGTTTCACTTTATCTATCCAAATGTTAGATATTATATGTGTAGAATAAAACCAAAACCCTCAAACACTTAGTTTCTACGTCTCTGCTTGTCTATTAGATTTATTATCAAGATTATTTTGACTGCTTATTACTAGCAAATACTGATATAATGACTTTTAAGTAAAGCTCTATGCTTTAGGAAAACAGCTCTGTGGTTTGGAAACCTCGTTTCTAGCAGTTACAGCTGGAACTGAAAAGATCTGTGGGGCTTTTGTCATCTTGATAATGATATATCTGTGACTTGGACCAACTCTCTTTACTTCTCTGAACTTCACTTTTTTCTGTATAGAAAATGAGGGGAGACCTAATAGATAAAGATGTTTGAAATGAACGTGTAAGAATCATATATGCATTGTTATTAATTGCCTAAAAGAAACACTTCTCACATGGAGTTTGGTTACCGTGTGTCCTATTCTGGCTTCCACAAATTTATGGGCAGAAGGAACACTGGCAGCTGATTCCACATTTGATCACCAATCCACTTTACACTATTGAGAAATTAGGTGTAGGCTGGTGAAGATTACAAGTGTAGATGCATTATGACCACTGCATGAAACACAGCTATAGGAACTGAGCAACTCAGTAAAGGGGTGACTCCTGCCTTGCCTTCGAATTTTGACAGAGTTGGCAGGCAGAGTCCGAGCTGGCCTGTATTTCCAGAATTCATCCCTGAGGAGAGTAAAGGCATGAATGGCTAGGTAGCATTCAGATCTGAGCAGAAGGTGTAGTGTTCTCACTGAATGCCTGTGACACACAAGAGTTTTAACTATCGGTGCTGCCAACATCCATCTCTAGGGGCTGTGAGCCTGACCAAGAAATAGTGAATTTGCTGCCAAGCCTTCATTTTCCCAGAATTTCAATCTTACCCTGCTTAATAGGGCAGCCATCATCCATGCCTCAAACCCTCTGTCAGATGGGAAAGGTCAAAGACATGAAAATAAGGATCTCAATGCCATCAGAATACTGGAAATATGGAGACTGCCTTCTTTTGGAGTGAAAATTGCACATCAATTGCGATAAAAAAGGTGAAAATGTTGAAAGCACCCTCTTGGAATGGATCATAGTTACTAGCCCATGGTGGCTTTTAGTGTCTCTTAGGGAAGATAAGAAGAAAGTATGCCATTCAATTACTTTTATTAATTGATCAGTTCCTTGTCATAGTCATCAACAAAATGGTAGCTGACTGATCCAAAATGCTCTGAATAAGCATGCAACTACATTTCCACCTTAAGGTCAGTGCAGCCTGGGCACTGTGTTTGGGCCTAATGCCAAGCTAGCCGGGGCAAAGCCCTAAGCACTCCAAGAACTGATGGATCTGTTCTCTTCTGCACTTGCTATTCCACTTTCTCTGAGAGCCAAAGAAGATATGAATGATGACAAGAAAATCAGTGTGTGATTTCTTCATCAGGTAGTTAGCTAGTGACTTTGATCTTCCAAATGAGTCTCATTATGACTCTACAAAGTGTTTGCCTCTTATCCTTTTCTAGTCAAACTGTTACATTTGGAAATTCCCAGAAGCCCAGTCATTATCTTCAGGTCAAAGTCCCTTTCAGAAAGGTTGCATTTGTTTCCAAGAGGCATAGTTGTCCTATCACAGTTGGAGACAGCAGATACCTGTTTACAAAGTGGGCTGCAGATTCACTGCAGCAAAAAGCAACACCCTCTCAACAAGTCAAACTAGATTAATGAGATTGTTAAGCACACACAATAATTTACTTCACTAGAGATTTGCAAATGCTTTGATGGATGTGAAGAACCCAACCTCTAACTTCTTTCCTACTCCCAGTACTCATTTTCAAATTTTATTATGCCATAGTGAGAGACATTTAGTACATACAGTGGCACTGAAATTCAGTCTCCCTCTGTTAAAAGCAGCCACTTTTCTACTACTGACATGAACTATTATTATATAAATAGGTATTGGTAAAAATGTTTTTCTCTAATATTAAAGAAAAAGGAAAAAAAAGGATGAGAACATCAGTGCCTGTGGATTTTGTTTTAAACCCAAAAGATTTCCTCTTTATTTGCATACATTTGCAAAGATAAGTACTTAAAAGAACAGGCCATGAAGAAACTTGCTTATACAATATGTGCAATTAAAAGATGCAAGTAAAAATGAAACTTTTTCTTTACAGCAGTGCTATTTCATTTGTATTCTTGTGAGATATATGAGTACAAGTCATTTGATTGCAGAAACTATCACTCTGTGATATTTAATGCATATTTCTCTTTCAGTTGTAGCAAGTCTAATCATCCTACATTTGTCTGGGGCAACCAAAAAAGGAACAGGTATGTAAACATCAAACATTTTTGTTAGACAATTTATTAGAGACCAAAATATGGATTTGAGTTTTAGTTTAGTTTTTGAAATTTTCATAGCTCATTTACTTCCAGTGTCTGCCCTTTGTCCATTTGTTTGGAGTATTCACATGGCTGTATACACACAAAAAAATGCAGGGGTGCTCATCAGGCTCAGCCTGACTCTAACTAAAGATGATAAAATACTCCCACTTTCAAATTGGGAAGTCCAGTTTGGGCACTCAGCTGCCTACACTTAAAACCTTTTTTCTTGTTGAAGTATAATTAAAAACCTGAAATTTGGTATCATGGGTGCATTTGTACAGGGGGAGTAGAGAAAGAGATTCTTGAAAGCCTTGGATTCTCAGTGTGAGGAGAGCCTAGCAGGGAATGCTGCTAAGCACATGTGTGTCTGAACCTGTGTCTGAATGCACAGTCCTTGCAGGCTGGAATTCATTGCAGGAAATTAGGTTCCATGTCATACTCTGCCTGGATATGCACCAGGGTGAAAAAGAAATGTAAAGAAAGTACATAGTATATAAAGAAAAACAGAGTGAAAGTCGGATCTCAGATGGTTATTATCATCCTTGGAAAGTGCTTGTTTTCATCCATTGATCCAAAGAGGGAGCCTCAAACACCTTTACTCTATGCACAAGGGGCTTAAGCTATAGGGACAACTCATTGATTATTAAATACCTCATTCAGAGCAACATCAGTCTAGAACCTACTATCTTTCCTTTTAATAGCAGCCTAGATATATTTCCTTCTGAAGAATCCATCTCATTTTGGCCTACTTGTCAAAGCAAGATGCTGAGGAAAGGATCCCTGATTTTCTTCAGCTTGAGCTGGCCCAAACCTTTGACTCCAGTCTCTCTGCCAGAGAGCAGAAAGAAATGCAAGAGATTCAGGGCTAGAAAGAAAGCAGACAAGACTCTTGCTCTCTGAAGATTCACTTAGGAGGAGGAAAGTTCTGGACTGTGATTCCTGGCCTCAGAGCTAGGAATTTATTAATTTTACAGCAAACAGTGAGATAAAAATAATCCATGAACCAGATTCCAGGAATTCCCCTGTCTACCTCTGTCCAGTGAATATAGACAAAATATGCTGCAGATTTAAAACAACTTATATATATTATCATAATTTTCTGGGTTATTTCCTCAATTTTGTGGCTGATATATTCCTGTATTATGGCATGAAGATTGCTGATAGAGCACATGCTTGAGCTTTTTGAGAGATATGAGTGGGAAATTCATGCCTTCCAATTCTCAAGCATGTGCTTTCCTTAGACTGTTATTATTTTAAAAGCAATGCAAATTTATTTTCCCCTGGACACTCAAACCTCTCCTCTGCTTTGAAAAACATATTTTGAGTAAGAATTTTATGTTTGTACCCCTAAAAAACAGACTTCTTTTCCCCTATATCAATTATCATACTCAGACTCAATAGATAAAAGTCTGAGGCCACTGACAGAAAAGAGGCTGTTGTATTTATCCTGTTAGAGAGTTCTAAGTGTCACATGTACATGATAATTTTGGGGCTAATTATATAATGCTTAATGTCATCATTTCACAGAAAAGCAAACTGTTTCCGAAGGACAGAGACCAGTGCAGTGTGGAACTTGGACAAAATATGCAGAAGGAGGCATCTTCACTTCTCCAAATTACCCCAACAAGTATCCTCCGGACAGAGAGTGTGTCTACATTATAGAAGGTGACCAAAAGAAGAATCTTTATATTTTACCATCACTTGTATTGAAAAGAATACCTTTTATTATATGTGAAGAGTAGGTGAAGTCATGATAACAAATACTTTCAAGACAAAAGATTTAGAGAACCTCTTGATTTCTGTTTTGATATAACTCATAAATTAGTTAAGGTGGTACGTATGTAAGACTCAGTAATAAACAGTACTTCAGGAATTTATTTCAGGATATTTCAAAAATGAATAGAACCTAAAATGCAACGTGACAGAAGAAAGGACATTTTAAAATGAGAAGTAAAAGTAAACATGGGAAACAAAAATGCTTATGACTTTCATGCAGACATTTTAAACTTACTGCAACTGAACCAGGGATGACAAGCTTAGTACAGTAAAAGAAGACACACAGAAAATATCCATGTAGTGAGTGTTAAAGTTATTTTCCATCCAGTCGTTCATAAGAAATGAAAATGAAACAAACAACCTACAAAATAAAACTAGAGGAGACAAAGCATCTCTAAAACTTAATTTTTAAAAAGTATACAGTTTCAGGCATGGAAGTGATTTAGGAAAGGCTAAAGGTGTATTACAAACAAACTATGTGGTTTCTTTTCATTAGTCTTAGTACAATGCATGTTGGAGAGATTGTTGTGATAATGAATCTGTGGAAGGTAATAGAGGTTAGATCCTCTCAGAGCTCAGAAAAGATGAATCATGTACTGTATAGGAAATCCCTGGAATCAAAAAAATTCTTTCATGAGTTGTGAATACATGTAGAATAAAACAGTTATGGTCTTCTATCCATGCTTCATTTAGAGAATTATTAATGAATTAATGATGGAGTGAGGAACTACAGAAATCATTATTTTACAAAAGATGCAGGTAGCACCAAGATATATTTCCAAAGATATATAGCTGATTTAAATTGAGAACTGTTCTAGACCCACACACACTCTGTACTTTTAGAAAGTTAAAAGTCACAACAAAATGACTGACTTTCACTTTGGTGCTAGATAACTTGACTGAGGTAAGTCAGAAGAGGTGATTATAAATAATGTAGACAAACTCTTAAAATAAAATTTAAGCTAGTCTGTACATGACGGAAATTTAAACAGACATATGTTAAACATTTAAATTCCTCCATAGTTTAGTAATTGGTTTAAAAGACTAAGTTTTTTAAGAAGAAAAATGTATAGGTTCAAAATGTACAACTAAGCATTATTTTTTTTCCAATTACACTTATGTTGCTAGAACTGGGTCTTTTTGCATCTATTGATCAAATTATCTAACACACCTGTGAGACTGGGGAAAACTAAGCCTGTTTTATCTTCAAAGATATGAAACACAGGATGTTTTGTCATTAAAGTGAAGTGGTGTAGAAAATAACCCACCATTTTTGTAAAATTTAGTCCCATGCCTCAGGTCATGAGATGCTCTTCCTCACAGTAAGAAGGTGCTTGAAAGTCCAATATAGTAAAAACTTTTATCTTTATAATAGTAATTAAGTACTTACAAAAACATATATGCTGAAAGATTGCAAAAATACACTGCTGAAATTATGTGATCTAATATACCTAAAAATGGAAATGCCAAAGAACAATTTAAGAAAGAAAGATTTAATCAACCAACTTCTATGACACAGATGAAATTCCACATTGACAAGTTTAGAGCAATGTATAAGGAAAAGAGTAAACTCAACAGACATCTTGTTATAATCTATCAGAAAGCTCAATCTTGTAAAGTCCAGTTGAACACAATTTTTCTATGGCATGGGTATTTTCTTCTTCCCATCCAGCCTAATAGCAGCTTGGATTGCAGCTGGTCATTTTAAAACCCACAATGAACCATAGGCATTGCACAACATTTTCAGCTCTGATCTCCCCATGTCTATTTCTGTCTTCTATAAAAAATCAGAAGTAGTCATGTCTGTCTGGAAAATGTCACCAAAATACGCAGAGATATAGGAAGATATCTGAGCAATAATAGTTTAAAATGTGTCAGATTAAAAAAAAAAGGCAAAAGAACTACTGAAGGTCAACAAAAAACTTTTTTGTAATTAGAATAAATCATTTGTCCATATTTATTCTTTTTGCAACATGCAAAATAACAGAAAACGATAAAGAAGTCTAGAAAGTATCAAATTTTCCCCACATCTTTTATATTCTGTGAAACTCATTGTCATAAGACACTGATATTAAAGGATTTATAAAACACTTATAGCAATGTATTTGAAATCAGATAACAATCTACAGAAATTGTCGATAATCCTGACTAATGGAGGAAATAAATATTTTAGAGTAAGACAGAAACATCTCTTTATGCATTTCATTTCTATATTTAATTGAAATTTCCATATGCTTGAACAGCTTCTGAGTCTTGTTGAATGCCAAGTACCAAACTAGGGGGACTGTTGATATGGTCTATAATATCATCCCCCTCATCACTATCTCCTTGTTGTATGTTTCAGGGAGTTCAGCCTACCAGGACTGTATATAACATACTGAAAGCTGTATGATGTGAGCATAAATGCATATATGAATCACTAAGTTCTTTCCTGGATGCTTGCATTCATTCCTTCATTTATTCGCTATCAAACATAGTCTTGGGGCAAATTCAAACACAGTTCTTCGTGCCTTTAGTGGTCTTTACTGAGTACTCCAGCTTGTAGTGTGTTGCAAACAGTTGAATTTCATCTCAATTTTTTTCCTCCCCATTGTAGCCTAATGGGGAGGAAAACATCCTTTTGTCGTGTCAAAATTATTTTGGTGACACTGGCAAAAGTTGCCATGATCATAGACTGTGAATTTCTGAAAGAAAAGGAGATTCCTGACTGCGGATGCTTTTATCCTAGCAAAGACATCAAAGACATAAGCAAGTCTAACAGTTGGAAGTTTCTTAGATTATTCTGCTTTTGTTTTTGCTTTTTTTTTTTTTTTAATTCTGATTTAGTAATAGTGATAATGAACTCTTAGAACAACTAAGAGTTGTTCTAAGAGTTCATTATCACTGGAATTTTAAAGTCAAGGTTGAATGCCTTTTTAAAGGAAATCCTTTAATTCATCTAGAAATCATGGCCTCTGTACAAAACTTGTTATGCTACAGAGAAGTGTCATAAGTGAGGCTTGGAGGAGGGCTGATACAACTCCCCAAGGAGCTTCTGATGAATCCCATCTGCCTTTCAAAATACAGTGAGAATTTTTTCTTTTTGTTTGGTTTTTTCTTTTTTTTTCTTTCTTTTTTTTTTCTTTTTTTTTCTTTCAATCTTAGTTGGCATATAGAAAACATAGAAAATGAGCTGAGAAAATTGGCCAAATTTCACCCTTATTTTGCATATTCATGATTCTAACCTGACAAAATTCACAGCTGCCCAGAACAATCACAGCAGTGACAGCAATAGCCTTTGCCAGACTGCAGAACATTTGGCATATGTGCTATAAAAGGAAATTTGCACAGGAGATTTTGCAGGAGCAAAGGCTTTTTTTATTTGTGTTAAAATATTTGGGGAGTGGGATAGTCATACTATACACACTATAACTTGAGAATGGGTTTAACAATCCCATAAGTGAAAAACCTGTAAAATTGTAACCACTCTTCTGCTTTTAATAATTAAGTGCTTGTTTATAAATACAGCTATGGACCAGAATTGCTCTATGGAGATATAAAATATATCTTCCACTATACAAGTTTGTGAGCATACAGAGTTCTCAATCTTGAAAATTTCATGTCTTCACAAAAGACCATTAAACTCTTTCATGATATTTCACAAGTGTTAGAAAATTGTCATGTTATCACCAAGTGAAAAACCTCTGCTCAAAGTCCTTTTGTATTTCACAGTGATTTTTGTGTTGAAAAAATTTTCACCAAAACAATGAAAGAACCCTATTTTCAAATGAAGATAAATGTGGTTTCCTTATCAATAATAGCAGGACAACCAGAAGGAATGAGGATTATTGAAACTATTAGTAGGCTAACAGCTCATAGAGACGGCAGTAGGTGTTGAGTTGTTTCTCATTTCCATACAGTGCGGCAAATTGAAACAGATTTTTTCACTTAACTTCAGCTGTCACTACACAGACTAAGAGGTTGATCAGAATTAAAACCTTAATTGTGCAGTTTTGCTGCAACTGTTCTACTGCAAGCTGGAACCCAATGACTCTTTTTTTCCATTGGATTTAAACTCTTAAGACAGCACTTGTGTAAGATAATTAGATGAAAAATATGACAAGACATGCAAGCATTAAGTAGGCCTTTCCATGGTTCTAAACATTTTTTGAAGAAATATAATTGGAAATTAAATATGGAAGTTGTATCATTTGAAATCAAGCCATTTAATGAGACATTATTCAATATATTTCATTTGAAGAGGGCAACAACTTTGCCTGACATCATAGACACAGAAGAAGGTCTGAAGATATGAATGGACTTTACCTGTTAATTAGGATACCAGAAATAACCCCTCCATCCCTCCTTTTCTGATTAGATGGCTGGTCTGGAAGATTTGCATATTCTGGATTTTTTTTTGTTTTATTTTTCTGTAGGAACACATACACTATTATTAGTAACTATTCTGGACTTGTCCCCAGTTTATTTCTGTGACCTCATTTACACACACTTTGTTGCAAAGGGTGTGGCACAAGATGTGTGTTTAAACAATAGCTGCTTCTTCTACCTTGTGTTGGGTAAAGAAATCCGTCATTAAAGCCAGAGCATAAATGTGAAATTATACCATTTTTACTTAAAAGATCTTAAAGTGGAGAATTTGAATTATGTGTTTTCATCACTTATGGTCATATCTAGCAAGTTTTGATTAATTTATATATAGATTACTGCAAACAAAACATTTTACCATTAACTAAATATGAAGCACAAGAAGAAAAACAGAAGTGCTTTTAAAAGCACCTCATGAAAAGGTCATGGATGTGTGTTTTGTATCCTGGAGTTACACAAAGTTACAGAAATATGAAGTGTTCCTAGTGGCATGGCCAAAATCGTGCCAGAACATGACTTTACATTTAAGGAGTGTGAACTGGGCAGTGATCCAACCCTCAAACTCAATCCCCAGCTTTGTTTTATCCCCAGTGGAGAAGTGCTGCTAATGAATATTCAATGCTGCATTCTTAAAGTGAAGTAGCCTCTACTCACAGGGCCTTCAGGGAAAAGTGGAAACCTGAGCTCTCCTTGAGCTGATGTGATTCTCTCTGATCCTATAGCAAGATCTGAGCTTCACTAGGAAAAGCCTCATCTTGACTTTGTCAAAAAATGGATAAAAGCAGAATTGTGTAAACTATAGCAATATTCTCGTCATAAAACTGGTTAGCAGTGAGTTATCTCTATCTGGTGAGGTTCAGAAAGCTACATGGAAATTGGGTTTGGAAATTTTGTTTTTTCTCAGGTCATTCATTCACCCAGCCAATAGCACTCATGTGTAACTCTGTAGGCCTGTTTTTTATTTATCTACAATCTCTCCTTTTACTTCAGAGCCTCCTATAAGGAGGCTGTAGTTGGGTCTAGGGTTCCTTTTCAACACCAAAAATCATGTCAAATGACTGAATTTGTTGTGGCCATTTTTGATGTTACATGAGTCTTGGATACAGAGAAGACTTGTTAAGGATTTAGCTATGGGCCAGCCCTTGTAACCCTCTCCTTGGTATCAAACAAGGCAGCAGAAAAGAAAGTTTTTAAAGGATAAATGTGTTATGATAATGGCATGAGCCATTTTTGAAGCAATCACTTTGTGGCTACGGGAAGCACAGCAGCTATGCTGCTGTATGTCAGCATATCTGACAGTCAGTAGTAGGAGAATCAATCTTCATATCTAGTTTGTGACATTAAAACATAATAATAAAGCTCTAGACAGGTTAATAGCATAATATTGGTGTCATGAATGTGTAAGATTTTCAAGCCATGATGAGCATTCTTAAGATTACCTAAAGTGTTTTCAGGATAGTGTCTGATACCTGACTCTGTGGTCCTTAGATGGATGATGAACAGCTCTCAACAAATCTCCTTAAATGGAATAAGAACATGCAGAATATGATCCCAAATTGAAAGTCACTGATTGCTCTCTTCTGTCCTAGTATTGCTTAGTTGAGTTTAAATCAGTAATTTTTATAAAAGTGTAAAGTCAAGGATAGAAACTTCTGAATAAAATTAATCTATGATGTCTTCCAGGTATTTAATCTTTTACTATAATCTAAAAAGATTTACTTTGGTTTTCAAACCTCACCAAGGATAACATCATTATGATCTCCTTTATAAGCTTTATCATCTGACCTTACTTTTGTAAACTTTTTGTACTTTCAAAATAGCTTCTTTTCCATAGACTGTGAATTTGGTGCAATTATATGTAAAACACAGACCTCTGCTTTTTCTATTGAATTTGTATGGGCATGAAGATCACAAATTTCCCGTAAATTGATATAAATAATGACAAGTCACTACTATTTCCCTGAATGTGAATGTCTTCCGATTGAGAACAGTAGAAAATGTTTCTTTCTTATGTTAAATTAAATGTTTCAGTAAATATCAATCATCCAATTATATTAACATTTTAAGTAAAGCTGTTAAAATAATCTTCCTTTTCTAATAAGATGTTTTATCAACTTACTTCTTAAATGTTTCTTATAAAATGAGGCTGTATTTATCTACATGAAATAGTTGTAAGAGGGATCTGACTATGTGCTCTTATGTAAAGATTTCAAAATTTACCTGATATCTTCTTACTCAATTAATTTTAAATAATCTCTCTTCTTATGTGAGTAATGAGTTCATATCAAAAGCCTAAAATTTAAAAGCATTTCAGAATCCAAACAAGATCTTTGTTCTTGTAACACTGACAGTTTTCTTATTATTCTTGAGGAAATAAATGTAGAGATACTGACTCCTGGAGTGGCAGCAGTTTCCATGCTAAGCAGTTTCCATGCTAATAACTCGGCATGCAGTTTGATCTTGCATATTTTCATGTGAAAAGAATGGTAACTCTGGCAAAGCTCATGGTAATACAAACCTCTTTTGATATGTGTAAAGTGTAGGACATGATCCCATGAGAGGCACAGCAGGCAATGACACAACAAATCCTTGTCTTAGCAGAAGGCTTTGTCAGCAAAAGGCTCCAGTGCACCATGCTCTAGACACAGAAGGCGCACAGTTTTTGCTATGGCCAGGATTGAGCGTAGAAAACAGTGCACCTCTAAAAGGTTGCCTCTGATAAACTGTATCAATTAAACCATGATTTTTGCCCTCCTTGTAAGAATATACTATATTTCTACCAGTTACTTTTTTTTTTGCTTTATACAGGAGATCCCAGGAAATATTTGTTTCAGAAATAATTCCGAATGTCTCAAGACTTAAGACCTATCATTAAAGATGGATCTTTTTAAAATGCCTAATTAAATTGCCACTATGAACTTCCTTCAAGATTTTCAGTATATCATTTGCTCTTCTATTATCATCCTTATCCAGGATCCTTATCCTTCTTCCTTAAGTGAGAATTCACTGCATTTGTTCTTATGTTTCCAATGAGAAGTAATCCAATGAGAAGTATAAGCAATTACACTCCAGTTTGTCATTGACTGCAATACATGTAGGAAGATAATCTGTTTTTACTGTAGCACAGTTCTGATCAGCCTTTTCTTCATCATCTTTCTCAGTACTAGGTTTAAAAAAAAGTATTCTGATTAACACCCCTCCCCAAAATATAAGAGAAAAAAGAAATTCTTCTAAATATGTACATTTCTTAGAAACTTTTATATTTTCTTAGAAAATTTTATATTTTACATTTGAAGAAATTGTTCCTGACTATATTTTTCTGTTCATCATGGATATTTCTTTCTTAGCTTTACTAAGCACTGCTGTCAAAACTACTTTTTTTAAAAAGAGAACAGCAGACAAATAATCTGACAGTGTGAAATCTATAAAAAATATAGATGTACTAATTTTTAATCAAAAAAATAGATGTTCCAATTTTTGTACAAGTTTTTAAACAAAATTTTAGAATCCATACAAAATGATAAATTTGATTTTCTTCAGTTTTGCTTTAGTTTTGAAAGGGTCTTGGGTTATAAAATAATAAGATAACTTTCTTTTTTGTCTCTAGCTGCTCCTAGACAATGCATTGAACTACACTTTGATGAAAAATATTCCATAGAGCCTTCTTGGGAGTGTAAATTTGACCACATAGAAGTACGAGATGGACCTTTTGGCTTTTCCCCAATCCTTGGACGTTTCTGTGGACAGCAAAATCCACCTATGATAAAATCCAGTGGCAGATTCCTGTGGATTAAATTTTTTGCTGATGCTGAACTGGAATCTATTGGGTTTTCTGCTCGGTATAATTTTACACCTGGTAAGTCCAAACCATCACATTTTTAATAGAAAAAGCTTATCATTGTAACTTTTCTAATGATGTATAATCTTGCTGTTGAATAATATCTTTAGCTGGGGCTTAGTTTATTGTCAAGGAAAGTATTAATAGGTAGGAAATTGATAAAAGTCATATGTATCTTTTGCATAACAAGTGATGCTTATTCAAGGGAAAGATTTTCAGATTCTGCAGTTTTTAAAAGTATTATTTTCAAGTGAATGCTACTACAGAAGGTCATTCAAAATGTTTCATGGGAAGTTTAGTGTTTTATGCTTGGCTGTTACACCGGACAGCTTTTCTTTCAAAAAGATCATTGATAAAGTATTCTAATAAAAAATGTAATTATCTCAGAAAATTCCATCATTGCTTTTCCACTTCACCAATCATTTCCCCAGCTGAGAAGTGGAATAGTTCTCCTTCCTCAATAAAGCAAACTATTACAAGTATTACCAGAGGATGTGTGAGGTTCAAATAGTAACATGTATTAAATATTTTTCTTAAAAGGCTGTAAATCTTAATTGCAATTGTACCAGTATTCCTTGTCTCTGTTTAATTCATTAAAGTAAAACAAAATTCATAGTCATACTTTCCATTAAATCCCCCACTCCCCCACTTGTTAACAAAAGATTGCTGATTTGAAATTTCTTCTTTGGCTGCAGCTCCACTATACTGCACTGCAACTGCACTGCTGGATGTGACGTAGTTCTGTGACTTCTTATGTATTGAGTGATGAGTCATGCTTTAGTATAGCTGACTCTAAAGCACTGTAATTATTATGTAATTTTGTCAATTATGTCACTATTTTTTCCGCTAAATTGTTGTATTAGGTTGAACAATGTTCTCTAGAATACTGCCTAAAATTAGCAGACCCAAAATTCTTCCTTAATTATTCCAGTAGCATCATAGAAGATGGCAGGTCTACAGGCTCTGTGCTCTTCTGCTTTCTGGTTTTCTTTCATTAATTCAAAGAAAATACTTATAAAACTAACCAGCACAGTAAAATTTTCTTTCAAGTCCATGATACTGTTTTTCACTGGCTAAAAATATCTAGAAGGTTCAGACTTGAACAGCAGGGAGAATTTCTGTAGCAAATAATCTGATAGCCAGGTATATGTATCTGCTGTAAATTCAAAGACAATAGACAAAATTTTGTTACAACCATGCATATGCACTCTGAAAAGAGAGTTAAATTTTTATCTCTCATTTAACATGGGTCTGTGAGCTTTTGCCATTTCCTTCCCCTGTGCCATAAGTCCTTTTCTTTAGATTTCTTTGCTTTTTTTTCCAAATGTTTGTGCATTCTGGTTGAAAAGATATTAATAGCAAAATCTGCAACTTAGTCTGTCTAAAAACTCTGATGTAAAAGACAATTTCGTGGACCATGTTTTATTGTTATTCCTTTTCTACTGATGTAAGGAGAATTTCTACACACAAAGATCAATGCTGCTAAATTAGTACAGCAGCATAAATTATTCTAGACTTCAGATGGAATAGCTATATCTTTTTTCTTCCTTGATTCTTTCCTTTTTCCCTCTCCATACATTTCAAAAGAAGCTCTGCAAGTAGTAGAGCGTTTCTAGGAATATTGGCCAAATGAGAATATGATTAATCTGACAAGTGCAAAACAGCACTGCTGCCTCCTTGATCACCGCTAAGAGGAAGAACTTAACATTCCACATTATTACTTGGACAGTCTTTTATCATGCAGACATGGATAAGGCATGACATTTTGAGATCTGTTGTCCATAGGTGTGCACTGGGAGGAGTTCCTGCCAACTCATAAAGCAGAATTATGGCTTTTGAGATTGTATAAGAGAGTAACAGAGAGAGGATTCCACTCCAGAGTATAACAGAGTAGCATAGAGAGGACTTCAATACAGAAATGATCACCTAAACCACCTAGAACCAGCTTAGGTAGTGACAACTTAAAAAATTAAATTATGAGCAATGGACAGATCAGAAGAAAATTTTCAGCTAACTTCTCTTTAAAGAACTTGAAGGAAGTGATCCAAAGCAAAGACTCATTTGGAAGCTGTTGCTGTCTCAAGCAGCTGAAAGCTCATGGGAGATGTGGTTTTTGTTGCCACTCATCTCACTTGTCAAAAGCAGGACACTCTTCCTAACAGCAAACCTGCAGAGGAGGCTTTTTTCATCCAGACACAATGCAGTTATTTCTTGAGTACCAGCAATATTTGAGGGTCCCCACCCCTGGCCCTGATGTGTTTCTCATCTGCCTCTTTTGCATTTGAGATGTTAATGGAGAATAAAGAGACATGGTGTTAAACATGTGGGTGTGGGCCAAGATTTAAAAAATAAAAAGTAAATTTGGCTAAATTGAAGCTGCAACTGTTTATTGTTATTTGAATGGTACCTGGAGAAACAGGGAAAGAAATTATTTACTAGGTCTCCAGGGTGTATAAAAACAGATAACTGGATGAAGTTGAAAAAAAGATCAGTTAGGATATAATGAAAAATGCTGAAATGAATATCTATTAGTTTGTGCAAATGGAAAGAGTCCTGCACCTAAGGCATTTAAAATCTAGTTTGGACTAAGTCCTATAAAGAGAAATTAAATATAAAAATCCTAAGGGATAGACTAATAATTTGCAATTATGGCAACTTTTCAGTTCAATAGTTTCTTTGACTCCTTGGTACTGAAATGGTTGGAAATCCATCCACCAAGACAAAAGTCCAGTAGGAACTGTATTTCAGAAACAAATGTAACTCTTTTGCCATACATTCTTTTCCTTTTAAATAAACCTTTTTTCAGAGGTCTTTTCAGTACTCTAAAAAGAGAGATCTTGCAGAAGAAAAAACTTTAGCAACAAAAGCAGAGATACACACATAGCCAAAATGAACACACCCAGAAACTGGTAAAACTACAAAAGGTTTTGCAAAAAGTTCCTTATTAAGAGAATAATTTAGGCTTTTGTTTTTGTCATTCCTAAATTATAGTGTTAAGCGACACTATAATGAAGTGGATGAATGAAGTTGTGCGTACAGTATAATAAACTATTTTCAATGTCAAAACTCTAAACTAAGGGAAAAAGTATTCATCTTTTGCATAATTACAGCTAATATCAGTAATAATCAGATGCATTTGAATGTAAATTTTCAACCATTTTGCATACATGAGAGTTTATAAACAAATGAAAGCTTCTTTAATTTTGATGTACTATTATAATTTATTTTTATTGTTAAAATTCTGATTAACCATGTTCATTTCAAAATGGAACTATTGAACCTATTGAAACTTCATAAATGTATAGAAACTTTTTTGTTGGGTTACTTCTTTTTCAGGAAATCTGATGTATGAGAGAAACACATATCAGGTTGCAATATTTTCAGGTCCTGCTGGTTCATTTTGAATACAATATTGATTGGCTAGGGAAAAAACCATGACACAAGGATATTTCATGCTTGCTTTTATTTTGTCATTCTTTGGGCCACTGAAAGGCCTACACCTGAAATTTCATTTCACAGCTCTGGGTTCTTTGACTCAATCTATTGCACTTACTTTTTCTAAAAAGTTTCATCTCAAGACTGTCTTCCAAAGTGGTGTTGAATCACTGTTTTGTGTAGAAAAATTCGAGTACTACTTCAAACTATTGACAATTCTTCTTTAAAAAGAATCTTTTTTTCTTTTTTTTAGTACAGAGAAGAATTCAGGCAGAGAGAGGCTGTGTTTATCTGGGCTTTCTTGCTCAGCTAGAATAATCAGATTTCTGTTTATCCTGGTCCCTGATTTTGCAGGACAGTGGCTTAAGATAGCACATCATTACTTTCAGTTCCTTCACTTAGTAGAAGCCATCTGTGTTTTTATTTAGCCTCATTAATATAAACGTCAGTCAGTAACGTTTTTTATTCAACTGCCTGGTAATGGAAAACAAAAAAAGATCTATACTCTTGTGTCCCAAAAAGTGGAATATGAAACCCTTTCTAACTGGAGTAACAGTACTTTTACATTCCCATTACAGTGAATGTCAGAGTAATAGAATAATTATGTCAGCTATCTTGAGGGAAAAAAATAAAAAACAACCCAAATTCCTCCTAGTTGGGGAATTTGTATATTTTAGAACTCATGAAAAATTTAATGAGAATTTATTAAATTCAGTCACAATTCTAAAAAAACTTAGCTAAAATATTATCAAATTATTTTGCCATCTAACATCCATCTTCTGCCTTGAATTGCAAAGGATATTTCGCAGGCATCTGGAATAGCTGGATATCCATGTGAGCTAGGTCACTTGTACTTTTTTGTTTACTCTTCTGAACTTGGTCTGATTACTTCTCATTTAGTATCAGCAATGACAATCACTTTTTAGCAACTTGAAATCTAGTTAAGCTTTTTGAGAACCAACAAACAATGCCAGAGTCATGTAACTTTAAGCCAGACAATGTTTTTCTTTTGGATTCAGAGTTGGTTTGGAAGATGAGAAATGACTCATTATAACTTCATTTAAACTTTTGAGACAGAACCATGTGATGTCAAAAAGCCTGGAAAGTGTGAATCTGTTTTATTTATTGAGATATAACTTCCCAGCACTTCAAATTGCAATAAGCAGCTTCCTGGTGTTATGAACTTTTATTGTGTTTCTACAAGTGCACTTTATAAGTCAGACACCTCAATGCTGTTTACAAGGCATTAGGGCATCTGGTCTTGGGTAAGGGAAGGAATTTCTCTCAAGTAGGATGATGCATTACATTGAAAATCATGATCACAGGTTTCTATTAAATTTCAAGTGAAAAATAATACCTTATGTGGAGCAAATGAGTATCTAAAAAGTCTCATGGGGTTCTCAGATCCCATATTATGTCTTGCCATCACATAGTTATATGTTTCTTTCAACAATACCCAAAAGGCAAATACAGAACTTCCTAGTTTAGAAATCTCTGCATGCTGGGAGTTTCATATTATCAACAGAAGGAAGCTGAACACTGAAATCCCTACACCATTGAACTTTGATGTAAAAACAGAGCAA